GTACAACCTGCAACATCTCCCTCAAAAAAATCAGACAACAATCTCTGGTGGCAAGCTCCAATTAAACTAAGAATGGTATTAGGGTTTTTTTACTGTTGAAGGTAAAACAAAAGCAAATCTCCACAATAGGTTCTGGGGGAGGTCAAGAATAGTTAATCCCTTCTCAGCATTAGGTAAAGATTTTCTTACACAGTAATTCTCGGGACTAGAGAGAGAACAGCAATAACCCATTAAATCCAACAAGAGTAGGGTCTGGGGAGGGTGTGTGTACGCAGACCTTGCCCCTACTCGAAAGTAGAGAGACTGTTTCCAAAGAGACCCCCGGCTCAACGTCGAAAGTTGCATTGCTTGACTAACTGCTACTTCATTAATTAAAGAAGCGCAGACAGTTTAGAGATCCATTTTGATTTATTCCATCACACCCCAAAGCCAAAAAATGGTGAAATTTTGGCTCTATGGGAGAGAGACGGGTAATTTTTACAACAAACAAAAAATTACTGACACCCTATTCTTCTCTCCTCCGTATATCTCTTTCTAAATTAATGTTGAGGCAATTAATTGCGTTTGAATAACAGACGCGATTCGATAAATTTTTAAAGTCTAATTCAAACTTCATCTCCTAAATCAAATTCTGAGACTAAAAGCCAAATCTCCAGCAAAACCATAAACCGCGAAATTAGTTTTACCAGAGCAGTGGGGGGAAAGTACCGTGAGTCTAGGCAGAGGAAGCTCGTCGTGACCGGATGCGACTCCTCCGCCGTCGATTAGCGGTAGGGGAACGGACGCGGAGGGCGGCGGCTCCGGGGACTCGGGAAGCTCAACAACCGGGAGAGGCTTGAATTGCGGGGGAGAAGAGAAGAGGGAGGAGAAGAACAACCGAGTCAACGACGGCGTGCCCCTGATGATCTGGAGGGAGATCTGGAAGAAGAAGGTGAGCCAGTTGAGGAGCGTCCGCCACACTTGAAGCGTTTTCGGAGCGTAGACTTCGGAAGCCTGGGACAGCTCCGCCATGATGCCGCCGGCCGGAACCTATCCAAACTGCTCTCTCGCTGTAGGCCGGTGAGTCACACAGATAATAGAGGATCACGATGGAAACCCTGGGTTAATGTTTTTCTATATTTATCTTCTTTCACTGAATTACTCCGACGATTTTCCCAAACATTGATTGACTGCTTTCAGTACAAGATGATTGTACTCTTTCCTTCCTCCTATGATGATGAAGAATGATGCTGTAATGACTTGACATCCAAAAAAAATACTGAGTAAATGGAATTTCACATACTCCCCCGTCCCAATTTATTTGCAACACTTCGAACGACGTGCAAAATATATCTCTTTTAAAATCACTGTAATTTCAAATTGGTAGAGTAATAAAAAGTAAAAATTACACCATTCAAAAGTATATGAAAAGCTCTACAAAACAAGATGCGACAAGAATATTTTATTTTATCAAATGGTCAACCAAAACGAGTAAACAAACAAAAGTTATCGAGAAGCCAGAATAGTAAACGTGACATTCTTTCTGGGACGGAGGGAGTATAAATGGGATCCAAAATACACCAAACATTTATTTTTATAAAAAAATCTAGAAGCACCTAAGTTGTTGTACACCAGATAGGACTGGACACGGTCCCGGTATGGAACTGGTATCGGTGACGGTACTGGCAGTTCCGCCACTAGGACCGGTGACGAAGACGGCGACCCAGTACAGGGAACCGGTACCGGAATCATCCGCCATGGTACCGGTTTCGGTGTTTATTTTTTGTGGCCAGAACCGACGATACGGGTTCGGGTCCAAATTTGAATTTTTTTCCCCTTTTGTTCACTTGCTGACACTTGATAGTGGTAATATTTATAATTCTTTTCCCCTTTTGTCGAAATTTTAATAATTATAATAAAAACAGTAATAATAATTATAATCATAATAATGGTAATAATAATAACTATAATAATAAGAGTAATAATACTAATAGTAGTAGTACTAATAATAATAATAATAATAATAATAATAATTTTGTTTAAATCTGATTTGATTGAACCTGATATGACTGGATCTGGTCTGATTTGATCTGGTTTAATAAAACAAGTAATAAGAAAAAAATAAGTTGAACGGAACGCTGCCTTAGTCTCATACATTTATAATTGTCCTTTATTTGCATTTTAATTAAATATGATTATGTGACACAAATATATATACTCCGTATGTATGTGTGTGGTTACCCATTACACAACTACACAATTTACGCAAATTAGGGGTGGACATGTACCGAATGAATACCGAAAGTTTTCAAAAAAATCGAACTCAAAAAATATCGCTAAAATACCAAATCGTACCGAACCGAATGTTCAGTTCGGTATTTGGCACATTACGAGGTAGCTTGCCATACCGAAAATTCAAACCGATTATATTACAAATATAATAATCTTTTTAGATTTTTTCATTGAATAATAAGTTCATTTTTTAAAATCTAGCTCAAATTTTATTACGTGTACATTATATTTTTATTTTAGTTTTTTTGTTTTTTGTATAAGAATTTAAAAATAGTTACACATATTTGAAATATCATTTTTATCATCCGTTCACTATAGCTTGTGAGATATACTTAAGTTTAATACTCCCTCCGTCCTAAAACTTTCTTCCCGGTTCGCAAAACGAAGAAAAATCCCAAGTTTTTTCAATCTATTTTATTTAAATATTGGTATAGAAATAAAAAATAAAACATACATATTTAAAAACTACATCAAAAGTTCAATAAAACAAGTGGTAACAATAATATTTTATTTTATCATATAGGCCATGAAAAAACACAAATAAATATAAATTTCCGTGAAGTTGGAATAATGCTCTGGGAAGTTTTAGGACGGAGGGAGTAAGTATTTCTCCTCACTAACTAATGGGGGCACTTTCCCCCAATAAAATTTAGGTTTTAATTAATTATTACATTAAAATTTCTCTAAAAATTACTCCGTAATATTGTCCTCAATGAAAAAATAATTTTCCCCCAATAAAAAAATTATTTAAACTTTTTTTTTAAACGAACAAATTATTTAAACGTAAAATAAAAAATAAAAAATAAAAAATAAACTATAATAATACAAGAAGATAATTTGAAAATAAAAATTTCAAGAGAAAGTAAAATTATATAGAGTACTTTTGAGATTTTTCATTAATTATGTGAATGTTTTACTTCACTCATTTCATAAAACGGTTCATATTTTGACTTTTAGGAGAGATAAATAGTGTATATTTGTGTTTGACTTTTCAATTTTGCCATTGATGTAATTGATAAATGTAAAATGTGATAGTAGATTATTACTGAAAAAGTATGATATGATAGATAGATAAGAAAACATAGTGGTAAGTGTAACTTATTGATAGAAAGTCAAAGTGTTTTGGAAAAAAATAAAAAAATCAAAAAGGAAGTGTTTTAAGAAAACGAATGGAGTATTAAAAAATTATTATTTTATAATTTACTTCAATTTATTAAAAAAAGAGGGCGCTATCCTCGAACTATCTTACTACTTTTGCCCCTAGTCGCTCCAAATTCTGGATCCGCCACTGATTTCTTACATTTAATTTTTCATTTTTTTGAGGGTATGTTGAGTCCCAACACTTTGTGAGAGTTCAACATTTTGTGAGAGTTGAAAGTTTTTTTAATGTAGTGTTTTTTGTTAGACGGGATGTTTTACTGACTGAAGTCATTTTTACTGTAGACATGACACTTCTAGCGATCTATCCCTACGAGAGTATCCCTTTTTTTGGAAACTACTTCATTCGGCCCTGAATATTTGTTTACTTTTGACTTTTTTCGGTCAAAATTTGTAAACTTTGACATCAAATAAAATAAAAATGATATTAGATATTGATACAAAAAAAATTTCAATACCTTTATTATATCAAATATTTTCAAAACGCTATTTTATTTAATTAAAATACAATATATATTTTATTTAATTATAGGTCAAAGATTGAAAACTGTTGACCGAAAAAAGTCAAAACTGGACAAATATTCCAGGACGGAGATAGTACACCCTATTTCAGTTTTTGAAAGATTGATTGATCCAAATATAATAATCTGTTTAGATTTTTTCAATGAATAATAAGTTTATTTTTTAAAATTTAGCTCAAAATTTATTACGTGTACATTATATTTTTATTTTAGTTTTTTTGTTTTTTGTATAAGAATTTAAAAATAGTAACACATATTTGAAATATCATTTTTTATCATCCGTTCACTGTAGCTTGTGAGATATACTTAAGTTTAATAAGTATTTCTTACATTTAATTTTTCATTTTTTTGAGGGTATGTTGAGTCCCAACACTTTGTGAGAGTTCAACATTTTGTGAGAGTTGAAAGTTTTTTAATGTAGTGTTTTTTTGTTAGACGGGACGTCCTACCCTACAAGAGTATTCCTTATATTTTAGTCTTATTCAGTACAAATTTCACTATGCATGTTGTCCACTATGAGTAAGTAGCACTAATTAAGTAAAGAGAGGAAATTAATAAAATAGAGTTAAATTTATAAATTTATATCGAGAGGAAGAAGTATAATTAATCACTCATCAATAGCACTAAAATTAGGTCATAAAGAGATGGAAGTATGTAAAATTAAGCAGCCCAAGGCATAGATATTTGGACGATGCATATTGCAATTCAGGCACAATAGGGCTAGTTAGGTCGTAAAGATAATTATGTCCATCGAATAATTACCAATTAAGTATATAACATATTTTTTTATGTCAATGATCAATTAATTAGATAAAAAAACCATGTCGTACCGGACCATCCCAAATTTTAAAAATTGTTTTAGTTTGACTCTTAAAAATTAGTTTTGATTTTTCTAAATAGACAATTAAATCAAGAGGGGTTACTTATATTGTTGAAAGGGAAACTCTACAAACCATACAAATTTTTACCAAGAGGTAAACATAGATCTTACTTTGAATCAGACAAAAAAACAATTGTGAAAAAACACAAATACTCTAATATTCAATTCATCCCAAACAAAACAAAAAAAGATTTACTAGCTGAAAGAAAAAGCATAAAAGTGATGTACAAGAACCAAGATTGGGGACTTGGATTATTTGTGTTATGTACTGACCAAACCAAAACCAAAAGAATCCTTAGCTTCTATGGGTGTGTTTGGGAGCCTGTTGAGTGTGAGAATCTGAATCCTCAGCTCCAAACTGATATGATCATTATGATGAAAATAAAATGAATCTACAAAAAAAATATTTAAAAATGCCCTTTTACCAACAAAAAAAACAACCATGGATTATTGGTGTGAAAAAAGCCAGGGGTGTCGAAGGGCTTCAGAAGCGGTGGGACGCCTTTTAGGATTCATCTGAAGCAGTTTCCTCACAAAATCAATGAACAAAGGATCTGAAACTTGCAACTGTTCCTCCAAGGACGTCTCCTCTGGGATTAAGTACTCCAGTCGATTCGTCTCCTATAACAACACAATGCCAACAGAAAGAAAAAAAACACAAAGCTCTGAGGGCATAATGGACTAAACCAGAATGGCAAACCAACTCAACTTCCCTTCCACCTTACTTTCTGTGAAGTTTTCTTAGCAGTAAATGCAGGGGAAACGAACCTCGTTCATGAGATAAAGGTCGAACTCTTTTGTGAAATACTTGTGCGTCTCTCGCCCTTTCAACAGCATGTCCATGTCAAACGGACCGAGCACTCCTATCACCCGCGCTAGCAAAACTGCAATCGCTTCATTGGGGAAAAGCACCTAAACCGATGTATTTGATTGGTCCGTTTTAATTTGTTGACATTTAAAAGAATATTTGATTGGTCTGTTTTGATAGAAAACAATCATTCATATTTCATACCTCTCCGGTGCACAGCTCTGCCAAAACACATCCAAGAGACCAAATATCGATTCTATGGTCGTACGGGAGTCCTAAGATGACCTCAGGTGCCCTATAGGACCGAGACTGTACATATAAGGACAAGTCGTCTGTCTCAAAACAGCTGCTTCCAAGATCAATCACTTTGATCTCACATTTCTTGAAGCTTTTTATGAGAATATTTTCAGGCTTTACATCGCAGTGGATGATCCCCAAACTGTGCAGAAACTCTAGAGCCACTAGGCATTGCCTTGTTATAGCCTGTGAAAGTGCAAAGAAACAATTTTGTGTAAATAAACAAGCAAAACAACAGCAAAAAAAACCCCCCTTTAGCTTGGGAATTACTAACCTTTAGCTTGGAGATTGTGAAATAAGGTTCGGTCTCAGATTCCCTATTGTATTTCTGAAATTCATACAAGTCGGCTCGCAGAAGTTCACAAACAATGAAGAGATGCTCCTGCATGATTTATAACGAGAACGAAATATACCATTATTTGATGAAAACATTATGGGGAAAAATGCTGGTGCACGCCACTTTTGACACCAGAGAAGGATTTCAGCAATCAGAAAAGTGTCTGTGAATTCCTTCTTTGGTGTCGAAAATGGTGTGTACACCCAGAATGATCCAAAAATAACATCTTTTAGGGGCCACCTGATAGTAGAAGTAATCATAGAGGCGTAATATATGGCGCTCATCACCCGGATCGTGCTTGTTTACAAACTTCAAAAGTTTGATTTCATCCAAGCTCTGATCGAAGAAGTCTTTGTCATTTTTTATTATCTTCAAGCAAACATCCATTCCCATCCGAAGATCACGGGCCTGAACAACTTTGCTGAAGGCAGCTGAACCAAGGTACTCCGTTACATAGTACCTACCGGCAATGATGCTGTTAAGAACAATAGGGATGTCCTTGTTCTCCTCAAATCCTGTCCTGTATATGACCACTCAAATCTTCATATACTTTGACAATAAACTAACTCACATAGGATGAACATTCATGTTTACAAGGTCTTGGTTTATATTATCATACCTGTTTTTTCTGAGTATAATTTTTAGATTGAACACTTCAAAGTCATCTTCGCAGGTATCGTACATTTGAAGCTCATCTGAAACCAAACTGCCTTCTTTATCTGCTGCTTCAATTGGTTTATAGTAGTTGTAAGTGGAATCCTCTTTAACAGGAGAGTTAAAGCTTCCATATTCACAACTTTTTCTTTCTTCACATTGTTCATGGAGAAAATCCTTTACATCGGTTAACTTGACATCCACAATACCATAATCATTTAGGTCTTCTTGATATACGACTCCGGCCCCACAACAACAAGCACAAAGAGGGGACGAACATCTATAGTCTTCGCTCTTTCCAACAGTTTTACAAAAGAAATGGTCACTGTCTTCTGGAAAGTTGTCTTCTTTAGTGTCCTCCCGAATGTCGTCATGACTCCTCCCCGAGCCCAGAGTCGTGACAAATTTGTCCTCACTTGGGACACCGGCAAAATCTGAGCCTTTGAAATCAGGTGGCATGTCGTAGTATTTGTCCTTCTCCCCGTACCAGAAAATGTCATCTTGCATGTCGAATTCTTGGTCTCTTGCTGTACCAAACTGTGACAGTCTATCAGATGATGATGCTTGAGAGCTTGGGTATGTATTGCAGCGTATCCCATATGGATTCGTGAACTCTATATGGAAGAAATGTGATTAAATCAAACAAACATGCTCCGTATCTCGGGCATTGATTGCTACATGTTTATATTGTATCCTTAAAGCAACCAAACATGTCAATTGTTTGACATTTCAAATTGATATTCGAAAATTATACTCCTCATATTCTTTGATTCACGAGTACTATGAAAGAAATCCTAAGTCCTAACTATATGTGTTAGAGTATAAAACGTTTTTCAAGCATTCGATCACATACTCGATCTTTTGTCCAGTAAAAAATGAATCTTTAATCACAAATTTGAGTTTTTGGTTGAATTAGAAGCATATGGTTATACTAATGATAAATGAAGTCCAATATAATACGGATTAGTAATAATAATAAAAATTACCAGAAGAACAGAGGTCAGTGGTTGAGGAGCCGCCTAAGCTGATGAACTCCTCATCATCATCAGAGGAAGAGGAGCTACGATTACCACTTCCAGGAACGCCGCCGGGAGCCTCGTCAGGCCACCTGGTGGCCGGAATCTTGAGCGGCGGCGGAACCATGGGAAGCAGAGAACCGAAATGGGACGATCTCTCCAGGATGTCTTCCATCAGAGCCGACTCAGACAGCGCAAGCCCATACTTCTTCAGGAATCCCAGCACGGCCTCGACGCCGGAATCGGCCATGACCCGCCGGAGAAACAAGAAATCAAGAAGATCGGCGGAACGGGTTCATGAGAAAGGAGTGAGGAGCGGGGAGAGGGCGGGTCAAAAGAGGGGATTGACGACGGTGATGATTGAGGAAGGTGAGAAGGAATATGGAGGCGTCGCATGTTCCGTATACAGTAGAGATGTACGTACACTGTATTTGTCTTCTTCTTTTTCTTTTTCCTTTTTTTTTTATATAATTAAAGGGTGGAAAAAAATGGAGTGAAGGGGAAGCTAAACTGGAAGAAGGAAGGCGTGAGTGAGAAAGACAATCATATGCCAAACCTTTTTTGGGAGAGAAGCGGAGGAGAAGAAGGGAAGGGAATTTGGTCATCTTTTTTCCTTTTTCTTTTTTTTTTCTTCATATTATTTCCGTGTCAAGCGTCCGACACTTGTGGGTCCCGCATTCAACAACCCCATGGAATTTGGTGATTTTTTCCCCTTTCCCCTGTGATACTGTACCATAGTCAGTAGACATAACAAAGAAAAATAAAATTATATTCACATATTTTTTTTCAAACTTATTTTCAATTCGATAACTTATTTTTCACTTCAATAAAATTATGTTCACAGATATGGAGTACTCTATATAATGGTCATTATGTCTCAAAGTGAGTCTCTCTCATTAGTACAATCATCCGATAATTTATAGTATTTGTTTGTTTATGTTTATTTATCATTTAATAAAATAAAATATTTTCAATAGCTTTTGTTTTTTAATTTTATTATGTACTTTTAATAAATTTAATTTATATCTTTTTTTAGTTCTATACTACTCCCTAATTTGTAATTACATCACCTTTTGTACTACAATAATTACCACTCCATCTATCTATTTTTTTATTTTCCAACTTTTCCTTTTAAGATGTCCTTCACAATGAAAAAGAGAAGATTAATTTAAAAATGAGAAAGTATCTTTTATGTTAAATTCAATTCACATAGTTTCATTTTAATTAAAAAAAATCAAATGAAATAACAAAAGTTACTTATTCTCGAGCTTTGAGTTAATCCATAAGTATGTTTTTCACTTAAATGAGATTAGATATTAAAATTAAATAAAATCCAGAGTCGAGATTAGATATAAAGAATATCAAGAAAATGTAGAGTTACTAGTACAAAAAAATACTCCTATGAATCAAATTAAGCTACGTGCGAATAAAATAAATATTACTTCGGTCCATGAATATTTGTTTAGTTTGAAACTTTCATAGTCAATATTATAAAACTTTCAGGTTAAACAAACTCCTTATTCAAAAGTCAATATTTTTTAGGTTGAATATTGGGTAAAATACATTAACTTTTAATTTATCTCTTCTAGATTTGTTTGTGTTAAAGTGCATTCCACATCGGAAATTCAAGAATAAAATAATAGGAATATAAGTTCTTGAGTTGAATTAACTAATCGATTGGATTCATTTTTCTAATGTAATTTAGCCCAAGTCTCCTATTATCCAATCTAGTTGTTCCTATCCCATGTCAAATGTCAAATTCTATGAGTTTGTAAGTTCTATTATTTATTTTTATTTTTAGAATTTTTATTTATTTAATTATGATTATTTTATTATTATTAAGATTACTTACTGCATACTTTGTATTATTTTATTGAGGGAAAGAGAAACTCTGATTTGGAAGGATTGAATTGATTTGGGAGAGTTAAAAATTTGAAGCTAAAATATTAAGTTTTAAACAACCGAACTCGAACTCCACCCGACCAACTTGCTAATGTAAGATTTTTCGATATCATGTACTTTAATATATAAAATAATGTGAAAAAATAAGATACGCTTATATTGTTTCTTATTACCCATTTTTAGTGTATAAACGTATATTTTTTAAAACAACTTTTTTAATAACATCAAATTTTTTTCTTATATTATTTTTTCAATTCCCCCCCCCCCTCCCGAAAATGGTACATATTTAAATTTTTTATATTATTCATTATATTGTTATGTATACCTAAAAAATAATTAAAAACTTTAAACAAATTATTTAATGTCTTTAAAAAAATAAAATATGTATATTTATTAAAAGAGATTTGGAGAAGAAGATTGTCCTGCAATTATATATTTAGGATTAAAATGTTAGTAAGAATTTGCCTAAAATATTGAATCTAAGATGAAACACGTTCAAGAATCAAGACAACCTTCTTCTCCAACAAACTAGAAAGTAGAAACACATGCCCAAGTCAACAACAGCCCAACAACAATGCCCCTTTTCAAAGAAGACATAAACTGGGGTTCAACTATGATCTGCGATTGGATCTGGTTGGACGATCCATCTGGGAATACAGCCAAGCCCGTATTCACTTTTTTACACAGCTATAGCCCAATTACTCTTTTGACCCAAAATAATTCACATTTCCAAAATTGTTTTAAATCAAATTTGTTTGTTTTGTATAAGGGTCCGTTTGGTACACGGAATTGATGGAATTGAATTTGAATTAAAATTTCATGCGATTCAATTCCATAGAATTGAATTCACCAATTCCAATTCATTTTTTGCACTACCAATTCCAAATTCACATAATTTCTGTGCTACCAAACATGAGAATTGGAATTGAAGTCCTCAATTCTAATTCCATAGTTTGAATTCCTTGTACTAAACGGGGCCTAAATGGAATAAAAAACTTCCTCGTCTCAAAATGTTTAGGACTTAAGAAAAAATGAAGTAAAATTTTAAAATTTTTCAATTCATTTGTTACAGAAATAAAAAATTTATTGTACATATTTAAAATTATATTGCACATACTCCCTCCGTCCCACTGTCTTTGTCCACTTACCTTTTAGCACACCATCCAATGCACTTCTTTAATCCATTTTATCTTGTAATTTCTATATTAAAAAAATTATAGAAATTATATATTAATAATTTATATGTTAAGAAAAATCAAACAAGATCACATATGACTATATTTAGGCTTACACATTGAGAGAATTTGATGAGTCAAAGTGATTAGATGAACAGTTCCAAAAATGGACAAAGAGAGTGGGAGGGAGATAATATTTATTTATTTTTTCAATTCACTTGTAGTAGCCACAACACAACAGTTGTGTCCATGATAGAGGCCACCAAATCCTTCGACTCCTTAAGCAACTCAATGCTCTTCTCCAACCTCTCCCTCTTTCCGGCGAACGGCGGCGGCTCTTCCAGCAGCCTCCCATAATCCCGGCCATGCATAAACACCTCCTTCATGAGATGACCTCCTCTTCAAGCTCCCTGCCCGCCAACTCATGAACGCCCATCGTCAAATGCAGAGCAGTACAATCTGTTGGGGATGAACGGAACAAAACACAACGGAAGCGTATAAAATCTTTTCCCCAAATTAATAAGATGAACAACAAAGCACAATATACTCTAGAAATCAGCACCACCACCACAAATAAATAACAACGGAAATAAAATAAAGAACACACGATTTACGTGGAAACCCCAAATCGGGGAGAAAACCACGGCCGCTCAACAACGGCACCCAAACTTCCACTAATCACCAAGAACCAAGTGGGTACAACAAGTTCTCCTCTCTAGTAAACACTAGAGGCATACACAATCATCAAGGAGCAACCTTGGAACAACAACAATCAACAATTCAACATAAAATGGAGTAAAAACTCCCAAAAACGCAGGTCTGAAAACGCAGCTAGAAAACA